ATCTTGTGTCCTTCATGGTTCTCTCTTAGGGCACATCTACACAGCAGAGCTAAAGCTGAATTAAGCTACGCAACTTGAGCTATGTCAATTGCATAGGTTAAGTTGAAATAGCTTAATTCAGCTTTTGGCACTGTGTACACAGCAGGAAGTCGAAGGAAGAACACTCTTCCTTTGACTTCCCTTGCTACTCATGAAATGAGGGTTATCATGAGTTGGAGTAAGAAGTCTTCCAGCTTGACTTTATTTCGAAATAAAGGCTTACAGTGTAGATGCTCACTAAGTTATTTTGGAATAATGTCGGCTATTCGGAAACAATGCTATTGTGTAGACATACTCCTAGATCTGATATTATTCAGCATTTATCTCAATTACTTCAAGTGACAAAGACTACAGTTTTACTTCTGTGTATCTGACACATTTTAATATATTTGAAAAAATCAGTCTTATTTTTCCTTTACCATATCTACCATATTATTAGGACTTATTTTGACTCTCAGAAAAATTTATAAATGCTATTAAAATTGAGCTCTCAATTGCTGGTTCCAGACATTGAGTAAGGTATGATTTCTATTCCTCCTTTGGAAATTCTGTGGCACCTTAAAACTATCAAGTTTATTTGGGAATAAGCTTTCATGGGCTGGAATTCACCTAATCAGAAGAAGCAGCGGAGTAGCCATGAATAGGCCTAGGTGGGCTGTAGCCAACTCACTTAGGATCCAGGCTCCAGGATCCATTTAGGATCTTAGGCCCCCAGTCCTGGCCCTGCTCCTGCTCAGACATGGGATCTTGCCCATCTCTGTCCCGTGCTCCATCCGGGGCTGGGGAGTGGATTCAGGGACTAGCCCTGTTCCACTCGACCAGAATTCCTGGCAGGGAGTGGAGTTTGGGGCTTGCAAGGCCCCGTGCTCTGAGCCCACTCCACTGAAGAGTGTTGGACAGGCAGGGGAAATGGGAAAGTCCCTGATCCTGCTTTGTGGCTGGAGTTCCAGAGATGGTTCAAACCCCAGTGTCCTGATCCCACTGGGAGCATCAGGTAGGTAGAGCAGAGCAAGTCCCAGTCCCACTCTCCATTGGGAGGAAGCCCAGTGACCCGACCTCACAACCTGCTTTGACCACTGGCCAGTCGGAGTGGGGCAAGCCCCCGATCCCTGACCCTATTCCCCATTAGGCTCACCTGGCAAAGCAGAGCAAGCCTCAACCTTGGTCTCCACTGGGAACACCAGCTGGGAGTGGGACAAGCCCCAGTGACCCAACCAAGCTCCCTGCTAGGAAAACCAGCTGGGCATGGGGCAAGCCTCCATGTCCCGACACCCCTCGGAGCACTGAGAGTGGATGGCAAAGCAGAACAAGCCTCCATGCCCCACTCCTGTTCCCTGCTGGGAGCACTGGGCAAGCTAAGCAGGGCAAGTCCCTGAGATCCCTCCCCAGCAGAAGTACCCCATGGGTTAGGGAGGGAGAGGCACATATATTTATGGGGCTTCCCTTTTTACAGGGCTACTGGCCAATGTATCTATCATTCCCTTCCCCATGGACAGCTGGGGGAAAAAGGTGGCCCCATTGTTGCCTACCCACCCCCCTGAAATCAGGGCCCACTCACTTGTCCCTGTCCCTGTTCCTGTCTATGCCACTGAAATGAAGGTGAAATTAATTTCATCAAGCAGGAGAAATTAAATGTGGCTGCAAATGGCAGGGTTCCCATATTTGACAAACCTGAATGGGCTTGTGGTTAAACGTGCAGGCAATATATTTCAGGTGCAAAGGGAGAGGCTGTGCTCAGCAATGTGGCTTTTATTGCAATGCACATTGCAAAGCATCCCAAGATGACTCATCATGGAAAAGTGCAATAAAAGTCTCATTCTTGAATAATCCACTTTAAAAGGATCTCCTTGGAGAACAGAAGGGTTTTTTTCATGGAGCACACATTTTATGTATTGCATCCAAGGCAAAAGTACCTTTCATACTATGATGTTACTATATACGTCACTATATGCTTGGAAGCTTCAGGGGGTAGCTGAGTTAGTCTGTTACAGAAAAAAAAACAGCAGGCAAATGGTCTGGTAGCACTTTATAGACTAACAAAACATGTAGTTGGTATCATGACCTTTCGTAGGCACAGCCCACTTCGGGTATGTCTACACTACCCCGCTAGTTCGAACTAGTGGGGTAATGTAGGCATACTGCACTTGCAAATGAAGCCCGGGATTTGAATTTCCCGGGCTTCATTTGCATAAGCCGGGCGCCGCCATTTTTAAATCCCGGCTGGTTCGAACCCCGTGCCTCGTGGAATGAGGAGTAACGGTAGTTCGAACTAGGAAGCCTATTCCGAACTACCTAGTTCGTGCAGCGTGTAGCCGCGCGGCACGGGGTTCGAACCAGCCGGGATTTAAAAATGGCGGCGCCCGGCTTATGCAAATGAAGCCCGGGAAATTCAAATCCCGGGCTTCATTTGCAAGTGCAGTATGCCTACATTACCCCGCTAGTTCGAACTAGCGGGGTAGTGTAGACATACCCTTCTTCAGATAACCTGAGTCATCTCCAATCATCTGAACAAGTGGGCTGTGCCCACGCAAGTTCATGATGCTATATGTTTGGAGAGTTGAATAAGACTGATGATTTCTCTATATTAAATAAACAAAGCCATAACTCTTAAAATGCAATTATATACTGCTCTGCATTGGATTTTCTGTTTAACCATCATATAAAGAACTACTAAAGTGTAGCAAATGACACATATGCCTTAAGAAAAGCCACATATTTCAATTTTACAATCATCTGGAAACGAAAAACTGATATGCTACTGTCACAACCCTAATGTAAATTTTTAAAGGATCATTTTCTTGCTCTGGAGCACTAAAATATATTATTTTCTAGACTTGACCAAAAGGTCTGCATTACATTATGCTCCCATAGGTCCAATTTTCCTTTCGTTTAATCAAAAGTAGAATGAACTATCATAGACTCAGGATAAGCTAAGTTTGATGCAAATCTGAATTTGGTTGATGAGATCACTAAAATAGATTGACAGTGTCAAAAATGAGGACTTAATGTCACCATTGCATTTAATTTGGCATTAAGAAGTGTGCAGCTAACAAAATATTTTCAAGCTGTATGCACTTGAAATATTACAACACTAGGCTTGTTTCAAAGTCACTGAAAACAAGAGAGGTTTTTCCACTGAACTCAAAGAGTTTTGGATCAGGCCCATTGTTTCCAAAGACAGTCTTTCTTTTATACTGAATAATTCCACAGTCCCTTTACTAAATAGGGTGGTTAATGTAGTCATACGGAACTTGCAAATGAAGCCCGGGATTTGAATTTCCCGGACTTCATTTGCATGTTGCCAGGCGCCGCCATTTTTAAATGTCCGCTAGTGCGGACTCCGTGCCTGCGGCTACACGCGGCACGAACTAGATAGTTCGGATTAGGCTTCCTATTCCGAACTATCTGTGGAACGAGGCGTACCCTATCAGTAGACATACCCTATCAGTGCCTTGATTTCAGTTTTCAGCCTGAATGGAAACATGGTCCAAAGCCCATTAAAATGAATGGAAAGACTCCTTTTGACTTTGCTGAGCTCTGGATCAAATCATCCATGACAAAAAGAATTTGATCGAGTGCCTTCTGAAGATTGCTGCTGGGGAAATTACAATTGCTTTGTGTATGATTAGTAATGCTGGTGCTTAAACTCTTTTATGGAAACATACTTGGCTGCGTCTAGACTGGCAAGTTTTTCCACAAAAGCAGGCGCTTTTGCGCAAAAACTTGCCAGCTGTGTACACTGGCCGCTTGATTTTGCGCAAAATCACTGATGTTCTACTGTCCGAAATCAGTGCTTCTTGCGCAAATGCTTTGACGTTTCCGTTCGGGCAAAAGCCCTTTTCCGGAAATGTTTTTGCGCAAGAGGGCCAGTGTAGACAGTTAAAAACTGGTTTGCGCAAAAAAGCCCCGATGGCAAAAATGGCGATCGGGGCTTTCTTGCGCAAAACTGCATCTAGATTGGCACGGATGCTTTTCCGCGGAAAAGTGTCCGTGCCAATCTAGATGCTCTTTTCCGCAAATGCTTTTAACGGAAAAACTTTTCCGTTAAAAGCATTTGCGGAAAATCATGCCAATCTAGACATAGCCACTTGTGTCTGAAACAATGATATAAGTGAAGACTGGGACCATTTCAGTGATGAGTGTGTCATCACCTGATTGGTAAACACTGGGGAGAACAGCAAATGTTGCTGTCTATTTATTTGTCTACTACACAAAACTTCTATCTCTGGGTAAAACAAGCAAATACGTACAGGCCTTTGTATCTGATCCTGCAATGAGCACAATTCAGGGGCAGATACCTACACCTATGCAGAGGTCCATGCTGAAGTCAGTGCCTGATCAGACCCACCTGCAAGGTTGTGGCTTCAGCATATCACTATTTAATGAGGCATAGTTTTGGTTTTCATTTCCCATGCACCATGATAGCGTGTGTCAAACTGACCTGTTTTAAAGAAGCACTGTTATTTCTCAGATTTCGTCCTAAAACATTGTTTTAGAAAACTAATAAAAGAGGCGGGGCTCTTTTTTATGACTAATGTTGTGTGCTGTTGTAATGTGCAAATAACCACTGCCCATTTGCAAAGATTCTTTCCATAGAAAAGATCATATATTGTCTGGGAGCTAATCCAGGCACTGACATTGTCATTAGCTCAGCAGTTTACAATATATTCTCTAGGAGATACTTGGAACAAGCATTATTAATGCTATCCATCACTAACAAAAAACAACACAAAAATCATAAATCCGGTAGCGAAAATGAGCAATGCACATAGTTTTCCAGACAAAATCTGAAGACACATACTGTTAAATATTCTCATTTTCCAGAATTTCACTTTACCATTTGGCCTGGAGAGTATTTAAAAAGAAAAGTCCACACCCCTTACATCTTGCTTTCAGCTGCTCTCAAGGTGTTCTGACTCAATGGCCAGATATTTAATTTTCTGTGTGTGCATAAAACTTACTGTAGGATCTTTGCCAGCCATTTTGCACTCGTCAACTTTGATTGCTGATGCTGGCCAGAAAATCTATTTGGAAAGAAATAATATTGTAAGAAACTACATAATTTTAGTTGAATATAAACAACATTCATCACTCCGCCCAGTTTAGGCTAACAGGTTTCCTTCAAGGTATTTCTGAGTTCACAAAGTCAATATTTTTACAGATTTCTTACCTTTTTTATGTAAAGGAAAAATATTTCCTTCCAGTATTTTTCTGTCAGAAATCCATTTTAAACAGAAAAGACAATTTACTTTTTCCTCACTCGTCTAGATTAGTCATGCATCAGTTTAAAACACATGACATGGAAGACTGTGTTTATGTTTTGATATAATATTTTATTCTTAAATAAAAACACGATAAATGAAAGCTTTGTATTTTAGGATGCAATATTCGAAATAATAGGACAGATCCTCAGCTGGAACATATTAGTGTAACTCCCTTGATATCAATGAAGACAAGCTGATTTATATTAGCTGAGTATCTGTCTTAAAATGTGTTAGTCTGGTTAAGGATTAGTTAACCAATCTGGACAAATAACTCCCTTTCAAAAGAACATTAGGACATTAAGACTAAAACTTTGCCAAGGTTCTGAAATGTTTGAATACAGGATACATTTTTATTAATAAAAAATGCTGCCCATCATTATGATATATCCAAGGATGGTCCATAAATTGAAAGTGCTGAAATACAGCAAAAATGGTTGCTACTACAGTGCTTCTTTTTCTGGAAGAAGAAGTGCTGGGTATCTCATGAGAAAATATATTCTCTTAAAATTTTCAGCTGAATGTAACTCTGTAGGCATAGATAACTTTCAGATAAGCATATCAAGTTCTGAATGCTTATCCAAGCCATATTTGAATTCAGAAGTTGTTAAAGTTCATCCATTATTAATGCTAATCTTGAAACAGAAAAGGCAGTAATAGGGGGGAAAAACACTTCTTCATAAGTGGCACACCCTGATAAAGAAAAGTTAATCAGAATTCTGCCTCAAGATATCACTGCCAATATCATAACAATAAAAAATTTAGACACATCTGAGTCTAAATGTACTTATCTGACAGTTCATTTCTGTGCACATTACCTATATTAAAATATTATTTCAATATGTTTTAGTGATAGTTACCAAGTGAATATCAACTTAAAAGAACAGGACCCCTTACAGAAGAGTAGGAAAATACAGGCCCTGTCTAAGAGAACGCCAAGTAGCAATTCTGCAGATATTCACAGAATCATAGAATACTAGGACTGGAAGGGACCTCAACTGACTGTTCCTTCCTAAGTGGAGCACTTTGCATTTGTCTTTATTAAACTTCATCCTGTTTACCTCAGACCATTTCTCCAATTTGTTCAGATCATTTTGAATTATGACCCTATCCTCCAAAGCAGTTGCAACCCCTACCAGCTTGGTATAATCTGCAAACTTAATAAGCAGCTTGGTATAATCTGCAAACTTAATAAGCAGCTTGGTATAATCTGCAAACTTAATAAGCAGCTTGGTATAATCTGCAAACTTAATAAGCAGCTTGGTATAATCTGCAAACTTAATAAGCAGCTTGGTATAATCTGCAAACTTAATAAGCAAACTTCAATGCCAATATCTAATGCCAATATTGATTGGGTTCTAGTTTGGAGCAGTGTTGTATTGGGTGATTGTGACCTGTCAGAAATGCATGGGTGTTTATTTGTTTGGCTTTTGTTTGGTTGTTTTATTTTTGGTTTGCTATGGATGGATATATGCAAATAGACCCTGACTCTGGTTTACATTTTACTTATACAGTGTATTGCAACAATATTTTGTAGCGTGTACTGCAGACATGTGTATGTGTATACACACACACACACACACACATTATAGAATAAATAATAGCAGTTGAGAAAAAACTGACACATGGAAAGGAAGAAAATACATTTTCAGATGAGTTTTGCAGCAGCATTTAATCAGTGTGGCAGAGAAGCACAGAAAGGCCTTTAAAGAGAGTACAAGCCTTGAGTACTAGGGAGATTATAAATTATATGGAGGAGGGATGCTTGCTGGACTAAAGGACCAGATAAGATTCACAGATTCCAAAGCCTTACGGGACCACTGTGATCTAGTCTTACCTTCTGGTGTAACTCAGGCCACAGAAGTTTACTTACAAGAATTTCTTAAAATACAGGAGTTCTTCTTTAAAAAAACAAAACAAATAAAGCACCCCATCTTCATTTTAAAATTGTCAATGATGCCAGCAGTTAAGTATTCTCATTGTGAAAAATTTACACCTTGTTTCCTGTCTGAATTTCTCTAGCCATTGGATTGTGTTATACCTTTCTCTGACAGACTGAAGACCTCATTATTGAATCTGTGTTATCATAGAGACAAGATTAATTAAATATCTTTTACAGAAAGCTGAACGTGAACAGGCTCTGGAAGCCAGACAGAAGCCTTTGTAGTTTTCCAAACACTGGAATGATGCCACTCCATTTTCGATACGTCTGAGGGAGAAGGCGTGGACATTTTGCACATGCTGGAATGCTGAGAGCAGATAAAGAAGGTGACCTTGCCAAAATGGGGTACAATAACTAAATGGAGAAGACTGCATGGAGGGGGACTGCAATGAGACAGAATTAGCATTATGCCTCTGAAACTAGGAATGTATCACTCCCCTACCACACAAAAGTGGGAAAGATGATAAAACAGAAGCAAATAAAGAAGTCAGAGGATAAGCTTCAGCGATAGGAAAATAAAGCAAACTTTGTCAAAGTAGCTTTATCTTTTCCTCACATAGCCTGAAAAAAGGAGACCTTTACAAAAAAAGAAAATCCTCAATCTGCTTAGAGGGCTCGTTTAAAGCTGCAACTTTGAATTCTCTCAAATATTTGAGAGGAGTGGAAATTTTACATCAGCCACCTCAGACAAGGTGTTCCTTATAAAACTGAGCCACAGCACAGATCACTCAGAAACAAGTAAACAGGTTGAATGAAGTATTTTAAGCCATTTGAAAGTCCTGTTCATCTCATGTTACACATCAAACAAGTACTAACTGTGCAATGAGATGTGGATCTGGACTTTTGCCTACTGCTGGTCTAATGAAACACACATTTTTTTTCCTTTCACAAAAAGGCATGCAGTAAAATGATATTGGATTCTGGAAGTACTTTTTGAACTTACACTCAGAGGGTCCTGGCTTATATTGTTAATATTCAAAGACAAAATGTGATCTTTGCTGCCCACATAGATCCGGTCCTGATCTTCATCCATCAATAATATCCTGTAGTCAAGGGGGTGATGGGATACACGGTAATATTCAGAGGTCTTGGTTTCCTGCAGCTCTGTAATAGCGAGTACCATAAGTTAGTAAAGGCATTCAGTTACTTTTCTTGGTTTTATAATTGCATCCTATGTAAATAAAAGACCCTATGAGTACAAGTGTAGCTAATAACAGAAAAAATAACATCAAGCTGTGGGCAATAAAGGTATTGTTCAATTAAATCCAATGTTCCTTTCCAAGTTTGAGCAAATTGTATTTACAAGTTAAGTAAGAATCAGGCATTGCTTTATCCATTCAACTAATGAACTCCCCTGTTTTAATGGATATTGTTATTTACTGTGCTAGCTTTTAAGGCAGATTTTATATATAAAATTAAATAATGGATTCAATACATTATAAAGTTTATGACAGAAGCAAATCAATAAAAGCTGCATAAACACATCAGTTACTTTTCCTATTAGAGGGTTTCTTTGAGAATGGCTGCCTATATATTTTCAAGGGGAAGGTGCCTTTTTTTGACAAAATACAATATTCTTGTAATTCTCCATGAATTTTAACTACTTATCACAAGCTATAGTTAATTTAAAATAAAATCTAATTATGGAATCGGCCTCAAACAGGCACTTTCCTTTTTCTTTTCAAATGGGACTGGAGCTATTCTTTCCGCTTTCTAGGTTGAAATCCTTTGTTTAGTCAGATAAATCCCACTCATGCCCCTACTGAAGTAAATGTCAAAATCCTCACTGCCTTCAACAGTGCATACTTGTGCCCATTCCTGGAACAACATAAGCATTTGTAATGCTAACATCCCTATATCCCCATGACAATGCACTTCTATTCAGTTTTGCAGAAATAAGGACTGTAAGGAAATAGAGACAAGGTGGGAGAAGTAATATCTTTCACTGGGCCAAGTACTGTTGGTGAAAGTGATCAGTGGCTCGAAATTTTCTCTCTTTAGACAACAGAATTTGGCCCAATAAAAGATAATATCTTACCCATATTCTCTCTCTTTCATAGTTAGGGACTAGCATGACTATATAACAACATAATAAGATAGGCCTTCCTCTCCTTACTCAGATGATCCTTGGCCTCCACTTTGCTTATTTTATTTTGAATTAAAAAACTGGGAATATTTTAATACAGGGCGGACTTCCCTGGTCCTGCACACTGACTCGTCCTGAACAAGGGAGTTTACCAGACATGGGACGGTCAATTCCAGACCCTCTGCTGCTGGCCTCTGGGCTATCCCCTGGGGCTGCCGACCTCGTGGATGGGCTCCCTTCAAGGGTGCTGACCCCACTGCCAGCCCTGGCCACCTGACTCTGCTGCTGGCCCTGAACATGCTCTCTGCCCCTGGCCACAGGACCAGCTCCACAGGACCAGCTCTGTCTCCATTCCCTGGGCTAGCCTCTGGCTCTATTCCTGGCCCCACAACTGAACTCTAGGTCTGCTCCCAGCCTCCCATCTCCATCCTTCTGATGCTGGACTCCCAGCTGGTCCCCACTCCCAGCTGCTGGTCTCTCTGGTCCAGCAACATCTGTGGTCCTGCCGGACAATGTATGTTGCCGGAAAAGAGAGTCCTGGATCAGAGTGGTTTGATCTGTAGTTGAGAATGGAAATGAAAGATTTAAAAAAATAAAGTAACCTGTTCTGAATACATGAAATTATGTACTTATACCACAGACACATTATTTTCAGATGTACTGATTACCTACAATTTCAAGTGAAATCAATGAATGCTGCAGGAGAAAAGGATGTCTGAAAATGAATCTTACAAATTATATTCACACAATTGAAGATAAAGTCTATTGCCTTCACTCAGCACCAGATATTTATCTGGACTTGTAACGTGGTATAACTCAGAACTCCATTGACATCATTGGAACTAAGCCAATAAATCTCTAGATTTTGCACAGGGCTCTTATAATGTCTAACAAGACCTTTGTCTGAATAACAATACAGTAATAATGCCAGGATCTGGCCTTTTGTCCTTACTGATACCACCAGTCAAAATGAAATCAATTGGGCTATAATAGAGCTGGTCAGAAAATCAAATTTTGGATTTCAGATTTTTGTGGGGGTTTTTTTTGTCAAAAACTACAATTTTTTAACAGAAATTGGAGATTAACCATAAAAAATTGGTTTAATTGAAAAATTCCAGCTTTCCATTGAAAACAGTTTTGATGGAAAATTTTCCATTAGTTCTACTCTATCCAAGTGACTCAGGGTTTGAGAGCTGGGTCCTCCACAGATTTATGGTAGATATAAATACAGAGAACCAAGTTAACTAGATATGATTTGCATTATTATATTAACTGTGACAGACAACAGTTCATGTTCATTTAATTCACTTTGTGGATAGCTGGTAACTTTGGAGACAATGGGGCAGATCCTCTTTTAGGGTACGTCTAGATTACATGCCTTTGCCGACAGAGGCATGTAAAATAGGCTCCCTTACATAGTCAAAGAAGTGGGGATTTAAATATCCTCAGCTTCATTAAAATAAGAATGGCTACCGTGCTGTGCTGGCTCAGCTGATCGTCAGCACAGCGTGGCAGTCAAGAAGTGGATCGGTTGACAGGGAACGCCTTTGTTGACCACTCCTGTAAACCTCGTTTCATGAGGCATAAGGGATCGGTTGACAAAGGCTTCCCTTCTCGACCGATCCGTATCTTGACCTGAGCGCTGTGCTGATGATCAGCTGATCCAGCACAGCACGGTGGCCATTTTTATTTTAATGAAGCAGGGAATATTTGAATCGCCACTTCATTGACTATGTCAGGTAGCCTATTTTACATGCCTCTGTCGGCAGAGGAATGTAATCTAGACGTACTCTTAGGCTGTGTCTACATTGGCAGGATTTTGCGCAAAAGTAGCCACTTTTGCACAAAATCTTGCCACCTGTCTACACTGGCCGCGATTATTTATGCAAAGAACACTGACGTTCTAATGTACAAAATCAGTGCTTCTTGCGCGAATACTCTGACACTCCGGCTCAGGGATAAGCCCTCTTGCGCAAGTATTCTTGCACAAGAGGCCAGTGTAGACAGGCAATGTTAATTTCTTGCGCAAGAAAGCCCGATGGCTAAAATGGCCATCGGAGCTTTCTTGTGCAAGAGAGCGTCTACACTGGCATAGATGCTTTTGCGCAAAAGCACATCTTTTGCGCAAAAACACATGCCAGTGTAGATGCTCTCTTGCACAAATATTTTTAACAGAAAAACTCTTCTGATAAAAGTATTTGCGCAAAATCGTGCCAGTGTAGACGTAGCCTTAGTGTAAATTAGTAACTTGAATAGTGCTGTGATAACTTCACAGAGGCTGAAGTGTAATATTAAAAATCATATTATTCATAAGTGAGATTCAAATTCCTTGTTTGATAGCTTAAATCCAGGTGGTCCTTATAACTATGTATGAAAACTGTTCATGTTCACAGAAGAAAGCCATAAATTTACTCTTAATTCCCTTGGAAAATCCATTGTCTTTTTCCTTTTTTCATTCAAAATTCCTCTGTTTGAACTTAAATGATGGGCTTTTCCAAGGTACCTAAGGGAAATAGGTGCCCAAATCCCAATAATATTAATTAAAAATGTCCTGTAGGCCCTTTTGAAATTCTCAGGCTCACCTTTCAAACAAACTATGGTAGTTTCATTCTCCTTAAGCTTTCTGGTTCCTTTAATCCTCATTTTGAGTTTGCTTTGCTTCAGCAAAGGGAAGCTGAATCTTCTCACCAATTTCACTACCAGATTGGGGTTGCCAGATGGTTTCATCAAAAATACCGGACACACTTGACATTACATCACAATCTACATTACATCTTATTTAGAAAATACCAGACATTTATATTTTCTCATGTATATTTTCTCAATTTGTTTCCTGAACAGAAAGCTCAAATACTGGACTGTCTAGTTCAAAACTGGACACCTGGCAACCCTACTACCAGAGCTGAGCTACAGCTCAATCACATAGAAAGGTATCCAATGAAAATATCGCATACCTCAGGCTATACTGAATTACTGTGCTCTTGGTGTCACTCCCATAGGCAAGTACATACTACACTACAGCATCAGCGAGTCAGTATGTGAGAATGTACAAACTTCCCATTAATGATACCTTTTGGAGTAGCCAGCGATACTGTGAATAGTCTCATTATGAGTCAGGGAGATAATGACTCCTTTCAAGGAAAGGGCCCAGGAAGCAAGGAACATGATTTTTTCCATGGCTCTCATGCTCATATTAGGAGACATCTTTATTTTCCTGGGTTCTGTTTTACAGCTTTCTTACAAGACATATGGTTAAAGGCAAAAGCAGAAGTAGAAAGCTATAGAACTGCTGTTTCCAACAGACCACTGGCTGGAAGAATGATACCACAGGACACTACAAAGAAGTTTGCAAGCATCCACAAGTGGGAAAGGAAAGCCCCTCCTTGTGGTAAAACACTACTCTGGGAGATACAGTCCCACAGAAGCTTGTTACTTGCATTTCCTTTGGGCTGAGATGTAAAAATGAATCACAGGCCTCCTGTGGGTTTTTGTCAGGTGTGGAGGAATTCATGATCCCGTACACTGTCTTCTGACAAAACAAAAATTTGCCACAAACTCACCTTACAAAATGTAACAATAGAATGTGTTACTCCTAAGAGACTATAATTCTGAAACCTCAGTGATGGAAAGCCACTATAATATCCTTGATACTCTCTTCCCATCTTCCCAATATTTCATAAGAAAAATTCCTGAGAAGGACAGGATCTCTCATTTGCTTGCCTTGGGAATTTGGGAATTCAACCACAGTACCAACCCAGCAATCTCTGCATATAGAATGAGACCTAAGCAAGTTAAGCCTCTTAGCATTTTGTGAGTATTTAATATTTTTGTATGACAATCAAAATAAAGCGTTTAATGTATTCCATGTGTAAGTAATATCTGGCTGGAAAAGTAACCTTTGTTCTCCCTGTTAAATAGGTCAGTGAGTTTGATCTTGGTTATCATGATTAAATCAATACCAATCTGATTCACACACTTAGAAATCTGATCTTAAAGAAAAGGATGGCCAAATAATCTG